ATCTTTGGAATGATTTAGTTTTGCAGTTTATATTTTTTCCTCCTCCTAAACACTTCACCATTGGTGACAGACATCTTTCATAATTATCCCTGAAAGCCTTGCTACTTTGAAAGCTATTGATTAATGTATCTGTCTTCCCCTCCTTGGAAACCTTTTCACTAGGCTGCTTGGGAGAGTTGATTTAAAAGTCTTCATATTTTCAAGCCCTCTGAAAATCTTTATTCAACTATATAGACCATATGGGGAAGAGAAATAAAGATTTCTAGGCATAACTTTTTTTGTGGCCTACTCTTTAGAAATTTGCTTTACTAACTGGCCAAAGGGCATGCCTAATATTAGCACAGCCTCCTTTTAACTCACTTTCCAATGGAGAAAGGCTGGGTGGCTTAGTCTGTTTACTAAAAAAAAAAAAAAAAAAAAGACAAAGTTCCTTTTGAAAGGTTGAGTTTTGACTTAACTTCAACCCCAAGAAAAGTCCCAGAACTTTCCTTTTAGTATTATAGAATTACTTTTTTAAATATTTCACTATATTGGTAGTTAGTGGGACAAATCTGTTCCTAACACCTCTTGCCACTTGTTGTGGGGAGGCTGTCATACTGTACACACTATCACAAGGTTCCAAGAATGCGAACAATTTGCAACAGTCCAAAATGACAGAAGGCTGAAAGCAAATGAGATAGGCACTTTGAGATCCAGGCTGCTTCTAGCAGAGTTATACCTGCCTTCTCCTCCAATAACCAAATAAACACTAACACCCTGCCCAAGGTGTTCCTCGACTTCCCTCTTTTTCCCTGGACATTCAATACCATTGAGCAAATCCTAGACTTCTCTGATTATGGGGTCTCAACTTCCTTTCCTCTCAAGGATTTAGAGATGTTCAAAAATCTATTTTCCAATGAGTAACTAAGGATTCAGAGCATAAGTATCTTCTACAGCACTTCTCACACCAATAAAATAGGTTAGTTGGTTTGTCCCTTGGTAAAAAAGTAGGAGTGATCAAAATGTTTGACAACACTTGAAATACAGCAGTCATCAGTCCAAATGGATACTGGCCAGTATGTTAGCTCAGCACATACCACAGAATGCTGGTCTTGTCACAAGTTGGGAGACATACCCTATGACTGATCTCCAGGTTGCAAGATTCCTCCCTTGTTACCATCTTTCTTAAAAAGAAGGCATAATTCTTTGTGGTCTGGGGCTCTTTATTTTAAAAGATTAATTCTTCCTTGTTCAGGAAGTTTATAACTGGTTAAGGCTGAGAATCTATTTGTAAATTCCAAACACATTTGTCCTTTGTAGAATGCCCCCTGCTTCCAAATCAGTCACCAAGGCTTGTCAATTCTACTTTCTAAATAGGCCCAAATCACTCTTGCATTTTTCTGCTCTGTGACTTAGGCCAGATGTGCATCATGTCCTGTCTGGATTTCTCCTAACCTCTCCCCTGGGTGGGCATGCCCTTCTAATCCAGCCTGTACATGCATACAGTGAGGGTCTTCTAAGCAGAAATGTGACTGTGTCACTTCGGTGCTTAAAATAATTAAATGCAGCTCTGAAGAAGGACAAAAGCCTCTAATATTTTCAGGCACTTTGTGATATTCCCCCACAATCCTCCCTCACTCCCCAATCAAAGGCCAGTGGTCTAACCAAGTCCAACTATGTAAAATTCCCTGAAGGTACAGCTCTTCCCCTTCCTCTGCATGAGCTGCTCCCCCAGTAGGGTATATGGGCTGGAGATCTTACCTGATCTCTCTAGGACTTTGTCCTCTACCATCTTAGAGTCTCACCATAAGACATCTATTGAGGTATTCTTTACTATCAGCACCCTGTATCTTTGTCCCAACACCTCCCCCTTAGTCTCTAGTAGGTTGGAACATATGACATCATTTTTATAAGTCATAAATGATAAAATATCAGCAATTTCATATAGTTCAACCTCATAGAAACCAAAATATCCTGTCCTGAAATGCAGCTCTTGGTCCTCACCTACCAGGTCCACTGTGAGATAGTTTCACATCATGGTTAAAAACTTGGATGGTAAACTCAGAACCGGGTTAGAGTTCCAGCTCAGACCACCAGCTGAGTGTGACCCTGGACAAGTTATTTGCCCTTCTGGGGCCTGTAGATGTTTCATCTATAAAAAATTAGGGAAAATAACAATGTCTTCTCCATAGAGAGGTGGTGAGAATAATTTGCATGAAGAGTTGAATTCACAGTAAATGCTTCCTAAATGGCAGTTATGGTGAGCAAATACAGCATCATATATGGCTCACTTTGTAAAATGCTCTAATGTTAATTGCTCTGTGTATAGCTTAACAATACAGCTCATTTGCAACAACTGTTTTATTGATGGACGTGATCTTGAAATCCCAAATACCTTCCTCATCGTTTAAAAGCCTCCATTCCCACTCAATGTTGATCAGGATCCTGGGTGGATGTGTCTACATGTTGTTTCCTTCTCTCTCCGTCCCTCCTGCAATCAATGAACTATCCATTATGACCTGAAATGATTGGAACAGAATTACTGAGGACCCCAGCACCTACCCCATTCCCTTTCTCAGATTCCCATTAACTCCTGAAAAAGTAATCAAAATACAGTATTTGGATAAGTATGTTAAGAGGCTCTTTTATTTGCCTCTTCACCCAAGTTTACCCAAGACAGCATCCCTGGTGTCCACAGTAAGTCATAAGATGGCCATGCTACTTTGTGGGGTGTATCCTGACTTGATCTCCATGTTTACAAGGCCATGTGGAGCCCCAAGCTTGGATCCGCAGATGACTACCCACTGACTCTTCTCCCTCCTCCACAGAAAAATATACCCACAAAGTAATCTGGGCAGCCCAGGCTGGTTCCAGCATCTTAAAGCACATCACATCCACCTTTTACTGTTTGTCTTTCCTGACCCTTAGCAAAGGCCCATTGGAATTGGAACATGTGGTTCTCCTCTTGCCTACTTCAGAAATGGCCTGGTGATATCTAGGTCTTCTCTGATTTTGAGGAAAGACTGTTACCTTTCGGAAACCCTTCACTTTGAAGTTCAATGTGTGGGAGAGAAAGACATACATTCTCCTAGGTGACTCAAAGCCCAAGTGCAGGGGAACCACAGTGCCAGCTAACCTGAGCTTGTCCTTCTGTCCTAAGCTTCCTGACTGGTTCTGACTTTGTTTGGGCCCCTGTTCTGATAACTGGCCTCCATGTGGTCAAGGTAAACAGGCCCCACCTGTTCCCAGTTGCGCTAATACTGTCTTAATCATTTGCCTGACACCTCAGGTCTAAAGGTGAACACCTGCCTAGCTCCCACCAGCCCTCCCAAGGACCACGGCCTCCATCTTGGATCCCAACCAGATTCTGGGTCTATTCTAAAAAGAGCTGTCTGCTGTATGATGTGGCACAGCATGGGAAATGGCTGGTGTTCACTGCTGGAGACAAGAGAATTAGCCATCCCAAGACAGAGGACAAGAGGTGAGAGAAAAAGAGGAGAGAGGGGAAAATACCATCCAGGAAAAAAAAAAAGAGGGGAGCTGAGGAGGATCTATCCAGTACTTAACTCTTCAGCTTCAAATAGCTTTGAGGAATGAAATACAACTTGATTTTACCCACATGATCATTGGAGGAATCCCAGGGCTTTCAGAGAGAGAGTGCGCACGTGAGCGAGCAATATCAGGAGGCAACAGTTACACTAAGCATTCCTTCTCAGCTATTAATTTATTTTTAATAGTGTGCACCTGTGAGCCAGCAAGACACTCCCAATTACTGCCTTAAAAAAACGTCTAACTTGTTTCTACATCCTTGCTTCCTTTTTAACTTTGCCAAAATGCATACCTTGGAGGAATGGGTCTTCAGCCTGATCTCAACCACTGTGACAACTGGTGTCCCTGGCGTTGTGCCTGAAGAGTCCCAGGGGCTGTACATGGTAGCCCTGCACTTGATTCCATGATCTCTCCCCCTGTATAAGAACCTTCTCTTGTTTGGGTCAGTTTTCTGGGTCTAATCAGGAAGCATCCAATGTAGATCCTCAATTCTTTATCAAAATCTTGTTAAAATATGAATTTACCACCATCTCTCCTATTTCTATCACTCTTTCTCCTGGCAGGATTTGCTTCCTGTAGCAATCTATCTCTTACCTCTGCCACTGGTAATTCACTGAGATGTACATATACTAATAATAATGGTGCTAAGAGTTTTATAGGTATTATCTAATTCTCACAATCTGTCATGCTGCTAACTCTAGACTTCTATTTCTAGCAATAGGACAGAAAAGAGACCTTGGAAAGCCTCTTACTGCAAAACAACTAGAAATTATTTATGAAGTATAACAAGCAGACTTGTCAATACAAATCCGAGCTAGTGAGAAACAGAAGGAATTCCCCGGGAGTGAAAACAACAAAGAAGCTGAAGGCCAGGGTGGTCAGCAAGCCCTAACAGCTTTGGCTACCCTATGGTGTGGGCTGGTCTCCCCAGACAATGGGTATGGGTTTTAATAGCCATTTTGGGAAAGGAAGACTAAGTCTTGAGCTCACTCCAGGTAGAAAGTTAGAACTTAAATGTCTGTATTAGAAAAGAAGTTAAAAAAATCAATAATCTAAGCACTCATATTAAGAAATTAGATAAAGAACTGCAAATGAAATCCAAAGAAAGTGGAATAAAAGAAGTCCTAAAAAGCTGAAACTAACCATACCAAACACATGCATGCCGCCTAAAGCACGTTGAAGATGTCTGTCAGTGGAAAGAGGGAATTAGAAAAAATACTGTCCACTGGCAAAGGAAGACTGCAGAGAAACTTGCCTATCTTGGCCTGGTTTTGGATTAGGACCAAAAGGCTCTTGGAATTCATAAACACGGGTCCTCCACTGGCTCAGGTCAGGTCAGATCAAGTAAACAACAAACGAATAAATAAGCATAGACAAAGTTCCTGGTTGGCAAGGCCCCTAGAGCAACCAGCAGAAGCAAATGTAAGGCCTCTGACACAGGACAGGCCTCCAAACATGCTGCATCTACTTACCGGCAGGGAAAAACTAGCCTAAAAAGCTGTCACGTTGAGTCACTCCTCCAGTCCTCCCGGCCCACCTCCACCTCCATCCTTAAAAGCACTGATTCTCCAAGTGTGGTACTGGGACCAACTGCTTCAGCATCACCTGGAATTTGTTAGAAATGCAAATCATCAGGCCCAGCCCCTGACTCAGGAACTCCTAGCAGTCTGTGTTTAACAAGATTTCCAGGTAATTTTGATGCACTCAGTTTGAGAAATTTATACCCATTCTTCCTCCCTGAGACTGCCACCAAGACAAACACATTCGGTAAATTCCAGTAAGATTAGGAATTATTGCTCTCGACCTTAAGTATATCTTATACCTACCAAACCTTAACAAATATAATTTTTAGAACACTAAATAGAATTTCTGTTTTTAAATCATTGAAACACATGAGTCATTCTTTTCATGTTTTTTGTTCATTTTTAAATTTTAAATCCAGTAGAGTTAACATACAGTGTTAGTCTTTCCATGTTTTTTATACAATAAAGCAATAGACCCTTTAAATACGTAGGGTTTCAGCTTAAAAAATGAAATCTTTGCCCATGATTATTTATAATCTATTTATGTAATAATTAGCATATGACTGAGAGATACCAATTACTTTAACATGAATAGAGTAGGCATTTACATAAATTATAATGCTAATAATCTTCTATTTTCAGTCCAGAATTTGGGTGTATGTGCTGTGTTTTTACTTGGGTAGAAAGAACCACTACCTCTTAAGTAAAATGAACATTTGTTCTGTTGCTCTGAATACATGAATAATTTTGAAATTAGGACATTTTGCTTGGGACACAACTAACTCATCTGGTATGTCTGATTCTTCACACTCTCAGTTGTTAGTTCTTACTTATAGTTGTTCATAGCGTTTATTTCAACTTTATGCAGATATAAAATGGTGACAGCTCTCATTAAAAATAAGAATTTTATTTCATAGAGTCTATGACATCATGTTTTCTATTCCATATTGTTATTTCATCAGAAAACATGTTCCATAAATTCTTCTGTGTCATATTATCAATAAGACAGAGACGACTTGCTGCTTTAAGCAGGATCTTAGGATACTGCGGGGGTGGGGGGGGTCCTTTGTATTGGTAGAGCTACTACAAACTAGAGTTTATTTGCTCAGTTCTAGGAATCTAGAATTGAGGCAGATAGTTTATTTTAAAATAATGAGGCCCCGGATATCTTGCCTAATTTCAAGATTTCTGACTATACAATCAGTGATCAGAATGGTTGTTTTTTTTTTTAAGATTTTATTTATTTATTTGAGAGAGGGAGAGAGCATGGGTGGGGGGCAGAGGGAGAGGGAGCCTCCCTGAGCAGGGAGCCAGATGCAGAACTCGATCCCAGGACCCCAAGATCATGACCTGAGCTGGAGGCAGACACTTAACCAACCGAGCCACCCAGGTGCCCCAGAATGGTCTTTTATACCATCTGCTACCATTCCTTCCACTATGCACAGGGAAGGTCTATTGGCACATGTGCAATAGATGTAAGAGCATAGTAGTTCTAGAACTGCCCTAGGTGGAGCAAATGTTGCTAGGCATGCCTCCAGCTCCACCCAAGCAGTCCTTGCTGGGGACTGAGTTTCAATCTGAGTCTCCTCCCCCACATCTCCTGTTCCTTAAAACTACTCCCTTGGTTGCCTCAAATGTATTATCTATTCTCCAGACCCAAAAGTCAGGCCTTCTCCTCTTGACAGAAGGTATTTGACCCAGGACATCCAGGCAAATTCTGGCCCCTGTCATTCCATCTCCCCTGGCAGAAGGATGAGTCATCACAGAGAACAGCTCCACCTCTACTACCAAAATTATACACATCCCCTATACCTCTCACCAGCATCAACATCTCCTTCATTTCCTTTTCCTTATCTTCAAACACACATCAACAACCTCATCAAAACGCCAGTGGGCCATGAACATCATCAACACCATCATTATCATGATCTGCAATGCCATCACTGTCTTCCACATGCTAAGAAGTGGTCTGATACGTTGCCAAAAGAAAAGGAGCTCTGAAGTCAAGCTGAAATACTTTCAAATTATGGCTGTAGCTCTCACCATGTGTGAGAGTTTGGGCAAGTTCCTTCCCTTGAATGTTATTCCTTGTCTGTAAATAAATGGGGATAATACCTTCCTCATATGGTTTTTGCAAAGATTAATAAAGTACATAAAACCTCTCACACAGTAGAAAATCCTATAGGTGCTCAACAAATGCTGGTAATTTTTTTTATATTGTGGGAACTAAATAAACACAGAACCAGTGACTGAACAAACAAATGAATGGACAAAAGGAACCGGATGTTCTTTTTTTTAAGATTTTATTTATTTATTAGAGAGGGAGAGCACAAGTGGGGGAAGGGACAGAGGGAGAAGGAGAAGCAGACTCACTGCTGAGCAGGGATCCCAACAAGGGGCTCAATCCCAGGACTCCAGGATCATGACCTGAGCTGAAGTTAAGACTCACTGAGCCACCCAGGCACCCCAGAAGTGGATGTTCTTAAAGAGCATTTCATCGAGGTGAGAGGTTGTCAAACACTTAGTTGTTGTTGTTAATAGCAAAAACCTTGCTTCAAGTAAAATCTAATGCAGAAAGTCAACACTGAAAACAAGAAAAATTGAGCTGTTTCAATTAAAGCAAGAGTTGGGGTCCTATGGTCCTTTTATTCAGACCCCTTTGTTCTCTTCACTGCATACCAGGTCAACTTTGTCCTGAAACTCCAAAAACGGCAGTCTGAAAACCACAGATCTAGGCTATATTCTCTAAACTAAATTTTATTATATCCTTTATCTAGATTCCACATATTTTTTTGTCAGTTCTATTTTCTCTTTGTTAATAATCTAAATGAAATCTTTATCATTACATCTTCTAACTTGTTGTTGATACACAGGAAAGCTGCCTTTGTAGACAAGTAAATTCTCTTAAAAATTCTTCAAATGTGGGGCGCCTGGGTGGCTCAGTTGGTTAAGTGACTGCCTTCGGCTCAGGTCATGATCCTGGAGTCCCTGGATCGAGTCCCGCATTGGGCTCCCTGCTCGGCGGGGAGTCTGCTTCTCCCTCTGACCCTCCCCCTTCTCATGTGCTCTCTCTCATCCTCTCTCTCAAATAAATAAATAAAATCTTAAAAAAAAAAATTCTTCAAATGTTTCCGTTCATTCTCCTGGGATTTTCCAAGTATATAATCATATTGCTTATGAATGATTTTTTATCTCCACCTGGCCAATATTTTTAATCTCATATTTGTTTCATGTTTTAGAGTATGCACCATAACCTCCAAAATAATGTTACATAAAAATGGTCATGATATGCATCCTACTTTAGTTCTTGATTTTAATTAGCTTTCTTGTACACCAGTTATTCTCTGTTTTGTTGGTGGGGTCCCAACCCTCTGAGATTTTGATTTTATTGGTCAGGAAAGGTCTTGGGCATCAGAAGGTCTTAAAAGCTCCCCAGGTAAATACCTAGTAGTGCAACTGCTGAGTCATAGGGTAGCTCTATTTTTAACTTTTTGAGGAACCTCCACACTGTTTTCCAAAGTGGCTGTACCAACTTGCATTCCCACCAACAGTGTAAGAGGGTTCCCCTTTCTCCACATCCTCCCCAACATTTGTTGTTTCATGCCTTGTCAATTTTTGCCATTCTAACTGGTATAAGGTGGTATCTCAATGTGATTTTGATTTGAATTTCCCTGATGGCTAATGATGATGAACATTTTTTCATGTGTCTGTTAGCCATTTGTATGTCTTCTTTTGAGAAGTGTCTGTTCATGTCTTCTGCCCATTTTTTGACTTGATTGCACTACTGGGTATTTATCTCAAAGATACAGATGTAGTGAAAAGAAGGGGCACATGCACCCCAATGTTCATAGCAGCAATGCCCACAATAGCCAAACTGTGGAAAGGGCCGAGATGCCCTTCAACAGACAAATGGACAAAGAAGATGTGGTCTATATATACAATGGGATATTACTCAGCCATCAGAAAGGATGAATACCCAACTTTTGCATCAACATGGACAGAATTGGAAGAGATTATGCTAAGTGAAATAAGTCAAGTAGAGAAAGTCAATTATCATATGGTTTCACTTATTTGTGGAACATAAGGAATAGCATGGAGGAAATTAGGAGAAGGAAGGGAAAAATGAAGGGGGGGAAAGGAACCATGAGAGACTATGGACTCCGGGAAACAAACTGAGGGTTTTGGAGGGGAGAGGGGTGGGGAGATGGGTTAGTCCAGTGATGGGTATTAAGGAGGGCATGTATTGCATGGAGCATTGGGTGTTATATGCAAACAATGAATCATGGAACACTACATTAAAAACTAATGATGTACTGTATGGTGACTAACACAACATAATAAAAAAAAAAAGAAAGAAAGAAAGGAGGTAAAAAAAAAAGTTCCCCAGGTGATTCTTATGTTCAGAGAATTGAGACCCCCCGCCCCCCCAGCCAGCTGATTTACCATGGAGTATGATGTTGGCTGCTTATTTGATATAGAATATCCTTGCCATATTTAGGAAGAATTTGCTATTCCTATGTGTCTAGGGTTTATTTGTGATTCTGTTCATTTGTTTGTTTTTTAGTTTAGAAATAGTGTTGCAATGATCTATTGAGATGATTACAATATACATATATTCTTATCAGATATATTAAAGTGATGAATAAAACATCCTTGTATTCCTAGGTAAAACTCAACTTGGCCATGGTGGATTATTCCATTATTGTTCTGAGTTCAGTTTGCATTTATATTTATAATTTAGAATGATGCCTTTTTTTATTTGTGTGAACATGTATAGTCATTATTTTGGGTAGAGTTCTAGAAGTAGAGTTGCTGGGTCATGTGATAAGACTGTTTCATTCTTAAAGAAGTTTTCATATTATTTTCCAAACAAACTTGTTTTAAGAGAGAAACTCAATTTGTATATCATACATGTGATCTTGTTTTGTATTTATTTTTCATTAAAGTGAAAATCTTTCAGAAATTGTTTGATCAAAAAATTAGGTCACTTGTTTTTTCCAAGATTTAATTTTGAAACTTTATTGCCAAAATTGTTATAATACCTTAAGGCATGATTTTTAAAAAAACTACCTCAAAACTGCC